AGAATAAATCGTGTGGTAAAAGTTAATGCATTTGTGCTTTTAAGCTTGTATTAAAGATTAATTACCTTAATTGTATATTTAACTAATTTATTCAAGTTGACGTATGATAGAATTAAACAAACATATTAAAGCATCATGCTTCTTGAGAAAAGTTCGGATTTTTTAGTAAAAACAAACTACTAGATTTTAGCTGACGGTATGGCAAAAACATGGTTTCATTTTCAAACTTAACAAACTAATGGGTGAACAATTGGTAACAGAAATGCCATGGATATCATACAATTGCACTTTTGGGGTCAAATTTCATAACCTGGGCTTATTTCTTGTTTCTTTCCCCACTGGATATTGGTATTATCAACGTGCAGAAAAGTATGTAGTTGATTGCTTATGTTACTTTGGGAAAGAAAATTTATCATTTACAATTTGTTTCTAATTCTACATTCTTAAATGTAAAAAAGAAATTGTTTTAATATTTGCCAGAGTAGTTCCTTGTTCTTAGAAATAAAAATAAATTACTACCTCAAAGGAAGAAAATGCACTGAGATCCTTTTAAGTGTTGTTTTATTGATGAGATAATCTAAGAGATTGATTGATGCCATTATGTAATAGTTTAAAATAAAAATCAACATTGCTTTAGTTTTCAGAAATAGTTTGCAGTTTTGGCTCAGGTGGAACACTTTTAGGACTAGGTTTCTTTCTCTATACTTAAAGTCTGGATCACTGAAAAATTACCAGCTAAATATTTTTGACTAAAAATAACTGAACAAAGAATATAAGAATAATTAACTCCAGACTGGTTCAAACGGCTTGATATCAATTATTTCTCAGAAAGTTATTTTAATTAGTTAAATGACTGGACTAACCTCCATTAAACTAACCTCTATTATCTCAGCTAATTTTCATAAAATGTTTCTTGCAACTGATACTGCTTTACCTACTTTACAGATGGGAAATTATGGCTCAGCAGTACAGTAGCTTGCCAGTAGCTCTCATAATCTCTGGTGGAACCAGGCTTAAGCCTACACTGGTTTGACCTTCTCCGCAATATGCTGCCTCTGGTGCATCTGCCAGTCCCGACTCTGACCCTGACGTGGTGGGAAAAGTATTCTTTCATAATGAATCTCACTGAACTAAACAGCTCATCAATGTTAAGCTATATCCTTATTTGAAATAGTTAGGCTTCATTATTTGTGAATTTTATACTTGCAAGTTTGTCTACTTCCTAAAATTTATTTGTAATCCCCAAATCAATACGCATGGCACTTTAATGGTGCTTCCGAGACACGTGCAGAGTGGCAAAAAATTTGAGTCTCCCAAGCTGTACATTCCAAGTGGTGATCAAATAAGGCAACACTCTGCTTTCTTTTTCCAGCTCTCATACTGTGAACAAGGGTCCTTTTTACTATCTCTTTAGTGCCATGTTTTTCACATGTTGTGCTTATTGATTTCACTGTTTAAAATGGCCCCCAAGTGTGGTGGAGGAGTGCTGGCTAGTCTTTCTAAGTGCAAGAAGGCTGTGATGTATCTTACTGAGAAAATGCATGCGCTTGCTTCATTCAAACATGAGTTTGATGCTGTTGGCTATGAATTTGTGATTAACAATATATTAAATAAGATGTCTTTCAGCAGAAACACCCCTAAAATTATGTATTGAGCAGTTGTGCAGAGGTTTGCAGAAACTTAACCTTGTGTTTCCCCTAGGAGCAATGGTTCAGTATCTGCTAATGCAGTGTTCTCAAACACCTTCTAGAACATAGCTACCATGAACAGCAAGAATCAATTGCATGTGGCTTCACTGTTCTTTGTAATGGCATACGTATAGAAGTTAATTTATTGGCCTTTGAGTAAAGTTTTACCATGGGGTAATTTTACTGGAATTACTAAGCACTCTTCAGGGATTCACCCATTTTTCAGAAACCACTTGACAGGCACCCCTCAGAGATATTTTGGATTTACTTCAAGATCACTGCAATAAAGTGGATATCAGAATAAAGGGAGTCACATAAATTTCTTTATTTCCTAGAGCAAATAAAATATGTTTAAGCTATAATGTAGTGTATTAAATGTGCAATAGTACATATCTAAAGAAACTGTATATATCTTAATTAAGAAATACTCTACTGCTAAAGAATATTAACAATCATCTGAGCCTTTGGTGAGAGGTAATGTTATATTTGTGGAGCGTCTTGCCTCAATGTTGATGTCAGCTGACTGATCAGGGTGGTGGTTGCTGAAGGTTCAGACGGCCGTGGCAATCTCATTAAAGAAGATAACTGCGAAGTTTGCCACATGGATGGATTCTTCCTTTCATGAAAGATTTCTCTGTAGCATGAGATGCTATTTCAGTGTTTTACTCACAGTAAAACTTCTTTCAAAATTGAAGTCATTACTCTCAAAACTTGCCACTGTGTTATCAACCAAGTTTATTTAATAGTCCACATTTTTGTTGTCTTCCAACAATGTTTATAGCATCTTCCCAGGAATAGATTCCATCTCAAGAAACAACTTTACTTGCTCATCTATGAGAAGCAACTCCACATCCATTCAAGTTCGATCATGAGATTGTAGCAATTCTGTCACATTTTCAGGCTCCACTTCTAATTTGAGTTCTCTTGTCATTTCTACCACATCCACAGTTACTTTCTTCATCTAAGTTTTGAACTCCCAAAAGTCTTCTATGAGGGTTAGAATCAACTTTTTTCCAAACTCCTGTTAATTTTGACATTTTGACCTCCTCCCATGAATTATTAATATTCTTAATGGCATCTAAAATGATGCCATTCTAGTTAATCCTTTCCAGAAAGTTTTAAATTTACTTTGCTCATATCCATCAGAGGAATCACTGTCTATGGCAACTATACTGTTCAAAAGATATTAAATAATCAGAATAGAAAGTTGAAGTTACTCCTTAATCTATGGGCTACAGAATGTGCGTAGTTAGCAGGCATTAAAACAATATTAATCTCCTTGTACATCTTTGTTGGAGCTCTTGAGCCACCAGGGCCATGTTGGAGCAGTACTTTTTTAACCGGAATTTTTTTTTTTTTTTTTTTTTTTCAGAGCAGTAGGTCTTAGCAGTGAGCTTCGGTAAACTATGCTGCATATTCAGTAAACCATGTATATTCAACAAACCATGCTGTAAACAGATGTGCTGTAATTCAGGCTTCGTTATTTTACTTATAGAGCACAGAAACAGGGTCTTGCTCTGTTGCCCAGGCTGGAGTGCAGTGGCACAATCATGGCTCACTGCAGCCTCTACCTCCCAGGCTTAAGTGACAACCCTTACCTCACTGTGTTGCTCAGTCTTGTCTCAAACTCCTGAGCTCAAGCAATTCTCCCTTCAGTCTCCCAAACTGCTGGGATTATAGGCATGAGCCACTGTGCCCAGCCAGATTTAGCATAATTCTTAAGGCCTCTGAGATTTGGGGAATAAACGAGCATTGGTTTCACCTTAAACTCACCAGTTACATCAGCCCCTAATGAGAGATTCAGTCTGTCACTTGAAGCTTTGAAGCCAGGCATGACTTTTTCTGTCTAGCTATGAAAGTCCTAAATGGCACCTTCTTCCAAATAAGGCTGTTTCCTTTCCATTAAAAATCTGTTGTTTAGCGTAGCCACCTTCATCAGTTATCTTAGCTAGAGATTCTGGACATTAGCAGTTTCTGCTTCATGTTATGCTTTGATGTTGTGGAGATGACTTCTTCAAACTTCTTGAATCAACCTCTGCTAGCTTTCAACTTTTCATCAGCAACTTCCTTATCTCTCTCTGCCTTCACAGAATTAAAGAGAGGGCCTTGCTCTGTGTTGGGTTTTGGCTTAAAGGAATGTTGTGGTTGGTTTGATCTTCGATCCAGACCACTAACATTTTCTTCACAGCAGCAGTAGAGCTGTTTCACTTTCTTATCATTCATGTGTTCAACGGAAAAGCACTTCAAGAACTTTTCCTTTACGTTCACAACCTGACTGGTGCAAGAGGCTGAGTTTTCGGCTTCTGTCAGCTTTTGACATGCCTTCCCCATTAAGCCTAATCATTTTTAGCTTTTGATTTAAAGTGAGAGATGTGAAGCTCTGACTTAAACATTTAGAGGCCATTAGAGGGTTATTGAGTTAATTTCCATATTTTTGTCTCAGAAAATAAGGAGGCCCAAGGAAAGGGAGAGAGAAAGCGGAATGACTGGTTGGTGAAGCAAATGCAAACATATACAACACCTGTGAATTAAGTTTGCTGTCTTGGATGGGCATGGTTCATGGAGCCTCAAAACAATTACAGTAGTGACATTAAAGATAACGGATCACAGATCACCATAACAGATTAATAATGTTTTAAATATTGTAAGAATTACCAAAATGTGACACAGGGATATGAAGTAGGCATGCTATTGAAAAAATGGCACTGATACACTTGCTGGATGCAAGGTTGCCACAAACCTTCAACTTGTAAAAATCACAATATCGGCAAAGTACAATAAAGAAACGTGCAATAAAAGGAGATATGCCTGTATGAATTTCCTATCGCTACTGTAATAAAGTACCAAAAACGATGACTTAAAACACACAAATGTATTAATATGCAGTTTGGAGTTCAGAAGCCCCAAATGGGGTTTACAAGGATAAAATCAAGTTGTCAGAATCGTGTTTCTTATGCAGGCTCTAGAGGAGAATCCTTTCCTTGCTTTTTCCGCCTTAAATAGAGGTGATCTGAATTCTCCGGCTCACAGCTTCACATCACTCCATGTTTCCATCATCAGATCTTCTCCTGCCTTATTCTTCCTGATATAAGAACTTTTGCGATTGAGAATGTCAGCTTCTAGCCCTGTCAATTACTTGCTCCCCAGCTTACATTCACTTGAGTATATTACTGTTAGGAAGCAAAAGACATTTTTCTTTTCACGTTGGCAGAATTGCTGATTAAATTCAGCTCTGTGGGTAGCACAGTGCTCTTGTGCGTATGATGCTTTCACTGTTGTCTCTCATTATTGTTTTTGGATTCCCGATTCTAGTCCCCAGAGCCAAGACAAATCATTTGTATGTCCAGAGAAGACTTCATGCAGAAGATGACAGAGATTGTTGGTTGGGGCACAAAGGAAGAATACGGGGAGCTCTTTGACAAAGTGGATGTGGCCCAAGATGGCTTCATTAACTGGGACAAGCTGACTTCATTTATACTGCTAGAGCTTTACGAGCAAGATGAACGAGCAAAGACAACTGTGGTGCCCCAGTGGGAGGACCTTGAATTCCTCCCAGTAAAACACAAGGACATCATTCAAAAATTAATTTTCTTAAAAAGTTCAAGTCATTATCTGACGATCAGTAAAGAAGGTTTATTAGCAATCTGGGGAGAGAATTTAAAGATGCAATAAACATTCCCCATCACTTCAGATGCCACCAAGTTCAAACACCTGTGGGTGACAAGCCTGGTTTCTCTGGAAAATGTAAACAAGGTACAGACTCTATTTAAAAAATTTACTGCTTGTAAAAGAGAAATAAGTTAGGGGGCCGGGTTCCTGGCTATTAGTAACAGAAAGCTACATTACTCTTGATGGCTTTACCCTGACTGGAAGGAGAACGGATAGTGCCAAGTGAGCTATACGATTTCCCAAGCTGTTCTCTTGGGTGCCTTGTAATGACATTGCTGCTGATGACTCAGATTCCTGGCTCTGTCTTCAATGAGGCCATGCTGCATCATTAGCTTATAAGAACTTTACTCCTGTGTAGTTTACAGGATTGTGGACCTACATGTAGAGCTGAGAGGCTACTATAGTGCATGGCAGGACTCAACGCAACTAAGGGGAACTGCTTATCTAATTTTGGTCACTGTACTAGTCAGTGTCTTCATTATAATAGTTAGGGCCCACTCAGCTTAAACATCTTTATATACCTATATCTCTGAGCAAGATAACATATTGTAAAATAATTCTGTGAGGGAAGGTTGGCACTTGAATCCATATTAATATTTTATATAAGCAGATGGTATAGATTTTACTATGAAAATTTTCAAGTGCGCACACAAGCAGAGAGAATAGTATTAGAAATGGATATATCCAATATTCATGCAATTATTTTCAGTTCACAGCTAATCTTGTTTTGTTTATACTTCCTCCCCATTAAGGTCTAAAACATCGTATCATTTCATCTGTACATATTTCTGTATTTCTAAAAGATGTCTCTATTTTAGCGTAGCCAAAATACCATCACACTTAATATCCACAGCAATATTTTCTTAATATCGTGAAATAGCCAGTCATGTACATATTTTCCTGATTAATAGTTTGTTCAATGAAGATCTGAATAAGGTCCAAATATTGTGAATGGTTATTATGTCTCTTGATATAAATGCTTTTTAAATTTTGTATATTTTTGCAAATTTTGGCTGTTGCTGTTGATGTTTCTGTTAAAGAAACCAAGGTTTTTCCTTTAGAATTTTCCACAGTCTGGATTTTACAGATTGTGTGTACATGGTGTTAATATGTCCACCCTGTTCCCTGAATTTTCTAGTCAATTGGTAGTCAAGCCTAAATCCTTGAGTAGTTTCAGAGTGGTTTGTTTAGAATAGGTGGTTTTGTCTTCTTCAGTCAGTAGGTACTAAATACGTGGTTCTTTCTCTTCTTGAGATGTTAGCAGTTATTGCTGATTATTCCTAGATCAATTTTTTAGGGGCCAGATGGTGTTTCTAATTTGATAATTTTTTTCCTTTAAGCTAGAATATCTCTATAAAAAAGAAATATCCCCATCAATCGTTTAGTTATCATGTGGTACAAATTAAGGGCAGAATAAATGCCTATTTTTTTCATGTTTATTTGCCAGTTTTCAAAATAATGAGCTGCTTTTCTAATATTCTCTAAAGATATTCTCTATTATTATCAGTATAATTGAAAAATAATGGGTTTAAAATTTGATTTGTTTTAATCTACTGAGTTGTTACCCCATTCAAAAATTGTACCCTCTTTAGAGTGGGAACTAATGCAAGTCGGCGTCAGTCTTTTTATAATCCTAACAGCTCTTGAAAGCTTCTTTGTTTCCTGGTATGACAAAATGTTCCAGAATCATCTTGTATATTTCCTATGCCAGACCTAAATCAACATTTCTCCAAAAAGCCAAGTTATTTTTAGTGGGAAAATGGATGCTTTATTGTTTGGAACCATAAATCATTCTCATCCTCATTAGCTTCCTATGCCCTGATCTGTTAATCCTCTCAAAATTACCATGGAGTAGATATTATTCCCACTTTGAAATGAGAGATTGCGAAAGGAGAAGTTGTATAATTTGCCCTAGGTCACACAGGATGTAATCAGTGTTGCCAAGATTTGTAAACTGAGGCAGCCTGACTTCAGGCCTGTGCTTCAGTCTTTGCTGCCTTCATAGTGGCTGCTAACATTGAATTCAGTTTCTTTTTGCTAAGTACCTGGTGCTAATACTTAACTTTTATGAATTAAAGGATAGTTCTAGTTCATATGATTTATTATAATATCTGTGTGCAGTATTCTGTTATCATATGGTGTTCATCTATTTCTTTTCAGCACTGATAAATTATAAAAAAAAAAAAAAAAAAAAATTTAGTTGAGTTCCGGGGTACATTTGCAGAATGTGCAGGTTACATAGGTACACATGTGCCATGGTGGTTTGCTATACCCATCAACCTGTCTTCTACATGAGGTATTTCTCCTAATGCTATCCCTTCCCTAGCCCCCGACTCCCCGACATGCCCTGGTGTGTGATGTTCCCTTCACTGTGTCCATGTATTCTCATTGTTCAACTCCCTCTTATGAGTAAGAACCTGTGATGTTTGGTTTTCTGTTCTTGGGTTAGTTTGCTGAGAATGGTGGTTCCCAACTTCATCCATGTCCCTGCAAAAGACATGAGCTCATCATTTTTTATGGCCGTATAGTATTCCATGAATATCTTAGCTTTTCTTGTGTGCTTACTCAACATAAAATCTTAAAGAATGTTGTTTTTCCTTTTAAAGCAGGTTTATTGAAACATAATTACCCACAATATACTGCATATGTGAAAAGTGTCCCAAGGTGATAGATTTTAATACATACATGTACCTGTGAAAAATCAACAGTACAAAGACAATGAACATATTAATCACCCTCAAAAGTTTTCTTGTGCTCTTTTGTAACTTCCCCAATTCCTTTTTTGTTAAGCAAGCACTGATCTGCTTTCTATCACTATAGATTAATTTGGATTTTCTAGAGTTTTGTAAAATTGACACCATACTGTGTTTATTCCTTTTTTTTTCTTAACTTGGCATAACTATTTTGAGATTTATCCATGTTTTGAGGTATATTACTAGTTTTTTATTGCTCTGTAGTATTCCATTATGTGGATGTAGCCTCACAAACACTTGGTATGATCAGTTATTTTTCTCTTAATTTTAGCCATTTTAAAAGGTCTGCATTTATATCTTATGGCTTTAATTCATATTTACCTGGTGACTAATAATCTTAAGCATATTTCCATGTGCTGGTTTGCTAAATGTATATCTGCTTTTGTAAAATGTCCATCCAAATCTTTTCCCTTTTATTGGGTTTATTATTATCACCATCATTGAGCTTTGAGAGCTTTTTTATATATTCTGGGTAGGTATAATTTATCAGGTGGCTACTTTGCAAAAATTGTATCTCAATTTTTACATTCTCTTAACACTGCCTTTGGTAATTCTCAAATTGTTTATTGTATAGAAATACAATAGATCTTTCAAAAATGACAATATACTCTTCAACTTTGCTGAAGTCATGTGCTAGGTTCTATAGTGCTTTTAAGCATTTCTAAAATTTTCTATATATACACTATCATATTATCTCCAAATAGTGACATAGAGCTAGTTTAACTTCCTCCTTTTCAATATTGATATTTTAAAATTTCATTTACTTAATTCATCTGTCTAGAAACTCCATACTATATTAAATAGAAGTGGTGACAGTGGACATCCTTGTCTTGTTTCTGATCTTATGGAAAATATATTTATTTTTTACCATTATATATGATGTCAGCTGTAGGGTTTTTGTTGTTGTGGTACATGCTGTTTATGAGGTTAAGAAAGTCTCTTCTATTCCTGGCTTGTTGAGTGTTTTTAATCATGAAAATGTGTTGGATTTTGTCAAATGCATTGTTTGCATCTGTTAAGATTATCTTATAGCTTTGTCTTTTATTAATATGATGTATTACTTCGATTTTTATGTTAAACCTTGCATTCCTGGGATAAATATTACTTTGCTATTATGTGTAAACATTTTGTATGTTGCTTCTCTTTGCTAGTATTTAGTAACTTTACATTTATATTCATAAGGGCTATAGATCTGCAGTTTTCTTTTCTTGTGATGTCTGTATGGTTTCAGTATTAGGATAACCCTGGCCTGATAAAATGATTTGAGAAGTGCTACCTTAGCTGTAATTTTTTGAAAGAGTTTGAGAAGTATTGGTATTATTTTTCTTGAAATGTTTGGTAGAGTTTGTCAGTGAAGCCATCTAATTGGAGATTTTCCTTGTGACACTTTTTGACCATTACTTTCATCTTTGTCATAGTTCTGTTGATATTTTGTCTTGAGTTGGTCTACATAGTTTTTGTGTTTCCTGAAATTTATTCATTTCATAAATGTTAATTTCTTGGCATATAATTATTTTGTTCTCTAATGCGTTATTTCTGTAACATTGATAGTACTGTCCCCTCTTATTTCGATTTTAATAATTCATATTGTTTTTTTTTGGTTAAAGTTTTGCCAATTTTGTTTATCTCTTCAAAGAACTAAGTTTGATTTTATTTTTTTTTTATTGCTTTTTATTCTCTGTTTTATATCTGTACTAATCTGTTTTTTTTCTTCCTTCTGCTGACTTTGGGTTTAGGTTGCTCTTTTTCTGGTTTCTTAAGACAGAAAGTTAGGTTATTGATTTCAGATTTTTTTAGATTGATGCTTGCAAATCTAAATTTCACTCTAGACATTGCTTTTACTCTATTCCGTAAGTTTTTTGTATGTTGCGTTTTTGTCTTCATTCATATGAATGTATTTTCTAATGTCTTGAGATTTCTTCTTTGGCCCATTGGTTACTTAGAAGTGTGTCATTTTATTTCCATGTAGCTGTGAATTTCCCAAATTTTATTTTGTTGAATGAAACTTCTAATATCATTCCATTGTGTTTGAAAATATAATGTATATAATTTCAAATCTTTTAAATTTATTGATTTATCACCTAATATATGGTCTACCCTGAAGAATGTTCTATGTACACTTGAGAAGAAATGCATCCTGCTGATGTTGGAATGAAGTGTTCTTTACACACGTGTTAGATCCAGTTGGTTTATAGTGTTTGTCAAGTCTTCATTTTCTTACTGATCTTCAGCTTAGTTGTTCTATTCATTATTGAAAGTAGAGTATTGAAATATCCAACTGTTATGATTGAAATGCCTACTCTGTCGTCAATAATTTTAGTTTTTACTTCATGGATTATGGGGCTCTGTTAGAAAAATGGCAGATGTAAATCTTACCTTCTCAGTAGTTGTATCAATGGACTAACCACTCCAATTAAAGGGCAAAGATTGGCAGAATGGCGATTTTAATAATTTATACATGTTTATGAAAATTCTCTATTTGATGAGACATCATTCTAATTATTTTCTTTTTTTAAATGGGAGTCTCACTATGTTGCTCAGGCTGTTCTTGAACTCCTGGCCTCAAGGAATCCTCCTGCCTTGGCCTCTCAAAGTGGTGGGATTACAGGCATGAGCCACCACACCCAGCCACATGCTTTCCTTTACTTCTTTAGAGCTTGTTTTCTTTAGTAGTTTGAACATTTATATATAAAAAATAGTTGAAGTCTTTTTCTAGTAAATCCAATGTGTGAAACTCCACAGGGACATTTTCTATTGACTCATTTTTATGTTTTTAAATAATTTTCCCTTTCTGAAATAGCCTTTAGGATTTTACTGGACTTCAGATAAAGCTACTGATAGAGTCTATATCAAATGATTTCCATGAAAGCCTCTATTTGCATCATAAAACATGATTTGTGAAGTTTCTGGTCTAACTGTATGATGCTGTATTTCTGTGCCTTAGTCTCTCCCATATGATTAGTGGTCTAGACTCCCACGGATGGGGATGTTGATGAGCGTGTGGAATGGGGGTAGGAAAGAAAGCATGTTCAAATGCCTCTAATGGGAAAAGTTTCTTCTTGGCTAGATTCCAAAGTTAGGATAAAGTACATTTGTGCTGCTGTTCTTTACTTCTGTAAAACTGTTAAGGATCCTCAGAGAAAAAAAAGTCTGATTTGGCAATTAGATTGGCATGTCTGCTTTGCGTATTAATTTTGCTAAATCCATCAGAAATGGTTTGATTTTCTAATCTGCTACTACTTTAGATAGCAGTGGCTTTTACAAGTAAAGAGATTTGTTTCTATGATCTGCTGTCCAAAGAAGAATTTGCTTGCCAATATAAACTCCAAGGCCTGAAAGGAACACCAATTTGCATGGATTATTGGTATGATCCTCTTGATGCCAATGAATCAATTCTTTCTTTTGGAGATATAACTGGAAAGGTAAGTGAGGGTAGATTAAGATTGAATATTATGGATTTAATCATGAAAGTGTGGTTTAAAACAAATTAAAATGCAAAGAGTGTGACCTCCAAATTTAATTACATTATGGATTATATACACATTGGACATTAAAGAGATGGATTAGGTCATAGTTTGTCTTCTTGCTTACAAAAACAAATCTTCATTATGTGTGTGGGTTTGTCTTTTTGGTTTGTGTATAGTCTCACTTTTCTCATTTAGAAAAAAAGATCTTGCTAACTTATTTTTTTTTTTTACCATAGAATGCTTGATTTATTAGATCCCAATAGGAATAAACGCTTAATATTAAGTGTCTACATTTATCCCTCATCATTCTTTCAAATTTATTGTTCTGATTTTCCTACATAGTGTATTAGGTTTCTCAGTACCAATTTCCTAGTGAGTGCTCATTGCCTGTATCATATAACAAAAGGATTAGAGAGGGCAGCTCTGATACGTAGATATTGGATACAATTATTTCTGTCTTCCTATCAAATTTCACTCAACCTATGAAAAATTATTACTTACTGAATGAAACTAGATTATGTCTGTGACCTCTGAGGTAGCCTAATTTGAACAATTTCCTTTTGTAATTGTGAAAACTTTTCATTCTTCCTGTTTTTAATGACAAATGTATCTTAAAAACAAGACTGCCCTTTGGTAATTGTATCAGCAACCTCATAAATGTTCTGTTTTTTTTGTTAGTATAACTGCCTGCATTCTTTAAATAATATTAAAGAAATTCTTATTAAGTTAATAGCTACTCCTTATTAAACAAAAATTACATAGAATCTTCTTGCAACAGTTATCCTGTCCATGATTGTTTTTCTTTCAATGTCTCTGTCAAGGTTCAAGCAATTGTTTTCACAGCAGCCTTGATTTCCCTGTTTGATTGGCCTGCTAGTGCATGTGAAGATGGAGAAGCCACCATGACTATTAACTGGGCGGAGCTGCTCTCTGGATGTCATAAATGTTGCCATATATTAGAGCATACACTTCATCATGGAGATTGGGTCAGGCAAGGTGTTGAATTTGAACTGTAATGAAAGTAAAGGGTCACCTCTGACTTGTACATGTATATTCTTTGATGAAAATGTTTCACACAAAACATTTAAGTCTAGAAACCAATAATTGGTTCTCTGAAGGTTGTGGTCTGGACCCTGCTATCCCTTGAATGCTAGCAGGTATTCTTTCTTTCCCTCCCTTCCTCCCTCCTTCCCTGCCTTTCTTCCTCCTGAATTTATGCCTCATACAATTAATTCAGGTGACCTATGTACTCAAGAAATCTTAAGAGAAAGGAAAGCATTGTCAGAATTCATTTAGCTTCAACTCAACTCTGATCCTAGCTAATCTCATCTAGTTGCATTCGGGTCCGCTTAATAAAAGAATTTAAAAAGTTCCCTCAAAATCATTCCTTTGTTTTCTTTATGTTCTCATGGGAAGCATATTAGTTTGGCAGCCTTTAAAATTACATTGTCTTAATTTTTTTTTTGACATAAGACTGAATTTCTTTAATCTAGAGTACTAGAGTGGCAGCTCTCTGTGTAATAAAACTATGTTATAAAATTAACTTCTATAGAAAATCAGAACTTTCTCAAAATCTAGTCACCAATGAATTAGTTTCATAAAATACCTTAATTTCATCTAATGGTTCAAGATTCAAAAATGTGCAATGTCTGCACCGATATTTCTTTGTTTAGATACTAAGGACTATGGTAATTTTCTCACTTCTAAATTGCTACATTAAAGAATGCCCACTGAAAAGAATGAAAATTAACGATCTCATTGACTTTAATGAAATTTGATGACATTAACATTATTGGTCTGTTCCTGATACAGTTTGAAGAAGAGGCAGTCAACATGGACTGCCATAAAAAAGTTGGCTTTTATGGTAATTTTACCCTGTTAGGGTTTCAGGAGGTTGAAACTAATTCTTTAATGTGTGCCCACAGTAACAATTTCCTATGTGAGGAACTATGTGCTCTGCATTTTTTTCTTTGATATAAATCATACCATGTCTTTAGTACCTTCTAGATATCTTTTAATTCTGGCATGACATTAATTGTGGAAAAAACAAAAGATGACATTTTTGGTCATCTGCTAAGTGTGATGGGCACAAAATTATATGTTAAGTTTTCATAACATGGAAATGGAATCACAGTATTAAAAATAGACTGAATGGAGCTATTTCTCCTTCTGAAAAACATATTCTTTTATTCATATTCATTTGTTCTTTAGATACATATGCCAAAGACTAGATTATAATAATTAAGTGGGCCGGGCACAGTGATTTACGCCTGTAATCCCAGGACTTTGGGAGGCCAGGGAGGGCAGATCACAAGGTCAAGAGATCGAGATTATCCTGGCCAACATGGTGAAACCCTGTCTTTTCTAAAAATACAAAAATTAGCTGGGTGTGGTGGTGCACATCTGTAGCCCCAGCTACTTGGAAGGCTGAGGCGGGAGAATTGCTTGGGCCAGGAGGCGGAGGTTGCAGTGAGCCGGCATTGTGCCACTGTACTCCAGCCTGGGTGACAGAGTGAGACTCAGTCTCCAAAAATAAGTAAATAAATGATAGTTCTTGAAATTTACTCCCAATGGGTTCTCTGAAATTTAATGTATTATTTGAGTCCATAATCAAATTAATATGAGAAGCCAATAGAAAGCCATCTTAAAAAAGGCTGGAGAGATAAATAAGGCTTTTAAATTGTGATTGTCTTTTCCAATGATACATAGTATCTAAATACTCTTTATGTTCAGAAAGAGAATGGGGAAACTCATTGCAGACTCTGCCTCAATTTTACTTAAGGCTCTTAAAAAATCACCCATACCGATGAAGTAACCTGTCGGTGAGAATTTGTCTCTTAAGTTATAGGACAAGGATTGTTCTCTAGGTCAATGTGGATTTGTTACTTATTATGCATCTATCATTTCATTCTGATCTTTGATTCCCTCCTCTATTGACAAAAAGACATGGAAATTTAGTATTAACAGATTTATGTTTATGTGCTAAGGAGTCCAATTTCACAGTCTGGCCTCAAATCACTGCAAAGTAGGAATTGGCTACAGAAAAGTTTAGCATATATATAAAGAACTACATATGTAATACAAATTGTATATGTGTGTGTACCTATGTAGTTAAGAGCCTATCTTATTCATATTACATATTTCTCAGTTCTTTGAATAAAATATTATAATCAAGTAGATAATTTTTAGAACAGGAATACACACATATACCTTTACTTTAGATATTTTATTTGAATTATGGACTTGCGTATCAATCCGTCAATAATTATTTCTTGATCTTTTATGTGTCTAAAAAGGGTCCTTAGGCATTTGAGACTACAGAAGATTAATTATAGACTTAACCCTCAGAAAACTTAATAACTGAAAGAAATAGAAACTAACACAAGCCATCTTAGTAGAACATCGTCCAGTGGTACTGAAAATTAACGACTAAATCTTATAAATAAGATTTTGACTCCTAAAGCAGTTCTTAGCCCTGGAAAGCCATAAGGAAAAGCTTTAAGGATCAGGGGTGATAATTGAAGGATGGTGAGAAAAAGAACATGGGTAACATGAGCAAAAATAGACAAGCAGACACAATGACAGAAGGAGACGTAGACATGAATAGATCAGACACTGAATATTAGAGAAATAGAAACAAATAGATCAAATGGGGACATAAGATTGGAAGATATTGGCTGTGAAACATTGAAGGCTTTTGAGGAAACTTGGACAGACCCGATGCCGACAGCATTTAGGAAAAGATTACTTGGTAGTTTGTTCAGCATGGGTTGGAAGAGAAAGAAACTGCAATCAGACTGGCTAGTTAGAAGATTTTTGACCATCAGAAAATAGAAAAGATAAAGAAAGGACAGAAATAGGCCACTTTCTGAAGCAACAGTCTTCAGGACTTGAGGTCTAAAAATGTGGAATGATAAACCGTGTTAGGATGTCATACTGCTTTCCATTCCCAGGTGATGAGTTTATTTGATTATAGATCCCCACTTGGCCCAATGCTCAGACTCTTCCCAGCTCATCTTCTCCTCTGGAGGAGTCTTCATTCTGAGTTAACCCAGATTCCGACACCAAAGATGAGTCTTCCTTTAAAACTTTTTTGCTTAAGGTTTTCCTGTTTGAGATGGAATCTCACTCACTCTGTTACCAAGGCTGCAGTGCAGTAGTGTGATCTTGACTCACTGCAACCTCCACCTCCCAGGTTCAGCGATTCTTGTGCCTCAGCCTCCTGAGTAGCTGGGATTAGAGGTACATGCCACCATGCCTGGGTAATTTTTGTATTTTTAGTAAAGACGGGGTTTCACCACGTTGACCAGGCCGGTCTCGAACTCCTGACCTCAAGTAATCCACTCATCTGGGCCTCCCAAAGTGCTGGGATTACAGGCATGAGCCACTGTACTCGTTCTGCCACAGAAGAGTCTTTCTTGCCAATGTTTTCCCTGAAATATCTTTTATTTTTTGCCGCTTCACCTCAGATTCAAACTCTATTTTGCCTCTTCTTCTAATGCAAACGAACTCTGAATTGCATTATTTGCAAGGTTCTCAATTTTGGCATTGCTCCTGGATTCTTTAAAATCTTGCTTTCCAGTGCTGCCCACCCTGTGAACCAAACCTACCCATTTCTGTACCCACATGTTAGAATTTGGGTCCTGTCTCTTATTTTCCTAGGCCTAGAAGGAAATTTGAATGCCTTAGATGCAAATCATATTTACGTGTAAATGGAAATTAAAGCATCCTTCTTGAGGCAAGCACTATATTCTTTACTCACTATAGCACATAATACAAAGTTTTATAAGATTTTGTCTTTATCGCTGATCTTAAGTCATTTATTATGATATGCCTTAGTTTTTCTTGGGGTGTATATGTATGTGTTTATCCTGGTTAAAATTCATTAAAATTCTTGGATTTGTGGATATGTCGTTTTCATTAAACTTGGAAATGTTTTGGTTTTTTCTTCTTTTTTTTTTTTTCCTTTCTTTCACTCTTTCATACACCATCATTCAGTCAATCTTCTCAGCTCACTCCTATGCTGGGATTACAGGCGTGAGCTACCATGCCTGGCCTTTTTTTTTTTTTTTTTCCTGGGACTCTAATTCTCTGCCTTTCCAGAACCCTGCCCCACATTTCCTAGCTGCTTCATCATCTTCCAACTCTAATCTTTGTTTCTCCAACTCTAGAGGTTGCTAGGCTCTGCGTGGTTTCTTGCCCTGTGTGCTGATAGTTTGGAAATCTCTTCCAAGAAAGTTGGAGCGATTGCAGGGCTCCCTTCATTTGTTTCTATTCTTTCAGGGTTCACAGTTTTTCTTTGCCTATTGTCAAATACTTGAAAATATTGTTGCTAATATTTTTCTAGTTTTCTAGTTGTTTATGGTGGAAGATTAAATTCAGTCCTTGTTATGCCATCATGGCTGGAAGCAGAAATCCAGCACAATGCTTTTTAAATAGTGAGCAAATATTTGTTGATCATTTAGCCACTTTCTTTTGTTATTTCAGCCACCTTAACAATCCTTTACCAGCTGCAAAGATAGGAGATTCTATGTGGTATTCATCCAAAAAAAAAAAAAAAAAAACCACACATTTGTTAGGTAATCACTATGTAATAGGCACAGTACTAAGCACTGGCATATTTCAGTTGAATCCTGAAAACTTAACTTGTAACATCCCACTAAGAAGATTTAAAAATAATTTCAAGGCTTATTATCGTGTTCACTTTGAAGCACTCAAAACTGAGCAGCCAGTTAGTAACACTTAATGAAGCATCCTTCTGCACGTTATTGTGTACTAGGAGCTCTGTGATAATTATTGTAGGGAACAATGGATAATTTATCAAAGGATGCTGGAGTGAGTGTCTTGTTGAGATTGGTTCAGGGCAGAGAAGAATTAGCAGCTTATCTATTTGGTGCTGAGAAACTGAGCTGTATTTTTGCATTAGTGTATGCCGAAATGAGTTATCTGAAGTCTTGTGAAAGCATTACTTTTCTTCTTCCTTTTTTCTTTTTTAA